AATGGTTCTACAATCGTACCAGTGCAGACCTTCATGCCAGTGGCATTTTGTTGTCAGACAAGTGCATGCTGGGAGACAAGTGCATGTAAACAAATGACATCAGTTTGAAAGCCTACTTCACTTAGAAAGCACCATGGCCTGGGAGTAAATATCGCAATGCAGATAAGCCTTCATTAATTAAAGTAGCTCTAGTTTCAGACTTCGAAATCTTTTCATTGCAATTATCCACTTACACACACACCTGCCTTTCAAATTTTAAATGTTCTATAAGCAGAAAATCACTGTCATAACATTGACATTTAAAAACCCAACTGGCTTGTTTGTCTTAATGAATCAATTTCTCTGTATCACTGTACATGTAGTGAGAATACATGTATAACATTTTCACCACCAGTTGCCTTTCTTTCATCACAAATTCACAAAATAGGCCCATTTATAGTCGGCACTTTCTTTCAGAAGATTTGGCCAAAAATAGTAAAAACTTAAAACTGACTCAGTTTTACTCTGTTGGCTCTATAATTACGGTTCATTTCCATAAATATCTAAGATTATAAGAAATTCTGGTGGTGAAAAAGCTAAGAGAATGGAGTTATAAATACAACAATTCAAAGAGTTTGTCTCATATATTACCCTATTTTGTACTCTTGTAGCAGACTAGGGGGGGATAGAGGAACATCAACATCGCATGCAGAGGTAAAAATAACCAGTTTAATGATGCCATGGTTTAACAGTCATCTAAAACAGCAAAGAAAATTCAATTACTTTGGAGAGGTTTGTGACAATTTGATGCATGCTTGCGAGGTAACACCGATAAAAATAAAATGTTATAATAAATAAAACTTAAGTGAAAACGATGTGAAGTTACAATGCTTTTAAAATTGATATATTTATTGGTGCTAAATTACAGTGCAATGGCAGCTTTTTAGAAAACATCAGTGCAGTACTACTGTAAAATACTTTATTTTAGCTGCAATTAATTTTCGCTGAAAAGACTTTTGGGGTGTTTTGTGTGGAATTTATTTTCATTGGCTTTTGACAAGTTGAATGTAAAATAGAGAAAAAAAGGTATATTTGCTGGATTTTATTTTCGCTGAAATTTTCAGTGAAAATTAATTTGAAGCGAAAATAAAGTATTTTACAGTATATTAAGGATGGACACAGCTGACCAGTAAACAAGCAGTACACGTACGTTCTTGATATTTTGCTAAGTGAAAGATTACATAAAATTAATCAAACTTGTTTCCAAGGCAACAATGACTTATAGCATTAAACCCTAATTTGACAATCATTTCGGATTAAAACATACAGAAAATACAAACAAGGTTGATACATTTGTTATTCAAAAACTAACAAATACATCTTCCAGATCTGTAGTCACAAAGAATAATTCAGGAAAGTTTCAGGAAATTTTGTTCTTAAGAGTGTGTTAGCAGCAGCAACCTTCTTCCCTTCTATTGCTAGCATGGTTGTTGGTGAATGTGCACAGGTGAAGCCATAAACCCAGACTATGTTAGAGTAAAAGTCACTGTTGCAATGGTGTTTGCTCATATTGGTACGTGACTGCATCCTGAAATTTACTGCAGGAAAATTCTATGTAGATCTCTAGCTATATCATATATCTTCTTGTAAAAGAGTGAATTTGACTAAAAAAAAAAAATCTGGTCTTGAGATGTTGAAGGAAATCTCATGCAGTGAATTTCTGAGATAAGGGCTGTAACTGATGAAGAAGCAGGCACAATGTTAAAAGTATAACTTCGTCCAATTGAGACACAAAGCCCAAAATATTATCATTTTTGTCAGTTTGGTATGTTAAATGACTTTTACATGCACATGAGGTCTAGTTCTTGGATGATTTACCTTGACTTCTATGCCTACCACCTCTCCTCATGTTAAAAACTGAAGTGCATAATAATATTTAGTGTTGCAGTGAAAGCAGTGATAATTGAAGATATTGTATGCAGGTAATATGTTACACATGGTATGAAGTTCCATCCAGATACAGAACTGGAGAATGAAATCTCAAAACAATCAGTATTCAATATATACAGTAAAAACCACCTAATTTTCAATGTTAACAATTTTCACGATT